GTTTTCGAGGCAAAAAAAAAAAAAAAAAAAGAGAGAGAGAGAGGAAGCCACGTTCGATTTAATTTTAGAAACTTAGTAGTCGAAGCTAGAACGAGATGCGAGACGGACGAGTGGAAGCGAAGAGCGTGGAAATAGGGTGAAAAGTCGAATATATAAAAAAAGAAGAAGAAGAAGGGGGAAATACTCACAGAGGAAGGTGAAGTAGGAGGCCGAGTGACAGATGAACTTGATGAACGGTTTCCTCATGGTCTGGCCGACCACGCAGTGGGGAGCGATGATGTACGCGACGCTGAAGAAAGGAAATAGAACGCCGATCTTCACTATCTCCAACGCCTGGAGGACCATGTTTTTCCTCCGGAACCCCGGAAGACCCTCGTACCAAATCGATGCGAGTAACTGCTGCACGTTAGGATGGGCCACGAACTGGAAATTTCCAGATAATCCGATATTGGTCGACGGTTTCCGGTCATGTCGCTGCCAAATTCTACTTATTACGCTCTAATTTCGGAACCGAAATCCTCCGAGGCCTCCCTAAACCAGATTACATCGATACCTCGGTCCGTCGATCGACCGCCCTCTCTCGAAAGGGAAACTCGTGCACGGAGATCCCATTTCCGAGGCGAAATTTCGTATTCGCCTTTTGCTTCGCGGCCGTCTTCTTTCAGAAGGATAGAAAGTCTCTTTTCTTTTTAGATTTACCTTCTTCTGTCGAAGTTTGATGGCGAGCTTGAGCCGGTTCAGATGCATCCTCTCGCCGTGCTCGAACGCCGGCCCGGTGGGGTCGTGGTTCAGCAGCACCTCCAACTCGTACGAACTTCTCGTGTGATCCAGCAAGGCGGTAGCGAAGTCCTGGCACTGTCTTCTAAGCTCCTGGAATCGCGACATTTCGCCAATTTTTTCGACAACTTTCTCGAAGCGCGGCTTTCATAAACAAAAATTCGAAAGAAAGAAATCGCTCGCCAACCGTCCGCTCTTTCCATCCACTTTTTCGCAGTTTCTACTACTTCCAATTCCGACCAACTTTCCTCCTACGATGCTCCCTCGACCGTGAACCGCGACACGGTCGTCCCGAAAACTTTTCTCCAACGGGGAACGTCGTTTCCAAGAAATTCTCTTTGAATATTCCGACACGGGTGGAAAAAGTTATCATCGAGCACGTTGCGTATCGTGTCGAGTTTCTAAGGATGTTTCGGCCAGTTGAGAGAAGAGAAATAAGAGGAAGAGAATAAGAGGGATGCGAATAAGAGGGATGAAAGGATTGGGATGGAAGGAACTCGTTTGTCAATCGAGTTGTCGAGGGACAATCGGTTCGAGACCTTGGGAAAAAAACGCGGAGTAATCTCGTGGAAACTTTATCCCCGCGGAGGAAGAGGGGGGCGGGCGATAATTTATCTCTCTTGAACGTTCGCCGATCGCCTGGAAGATTTAAACGATCATCTCCGTCAATTTGTTCGCCGATGTTATTGCGTTTGAATCGATAAAGGAGGAGAAACCGAGCGTTTGTGTTTAATCCCTTGATTATAAAAGAAAAAGGAAAAAAGAGAGAGAGGAAGAAAAACATGGAAACCGTTGAACTCTGAAAGAGAAGTCCGATTTCAAATAAGGGGAAACAAGGGTAGGAAACGTAGTTTCGAGGATCTTCTCGATGAAATATTCTCTCTCCGTTTCGAGGAAGAAAAGTTAAGATTGGAACCGTTGCTCGTTCGATACGATGAAAAAAAAAAGGGTCGAGAGAGGGTGGGAAGTTTTTATGCACGAACGAATATATTTATAATTCATCCAACGGTCAATCGTTTACCGATCTTTCCTCGAGAGTTGATCAATTTCCCATTTCTCGACGACGATTTATCTTTCATTGTCGACGATCTTTCTTTCGAGATAGAAGATCCGCGTTGCTTACCAATCCTTCTCGTTCGTTATCCTACAATGAATTTTCGTTGTCTCGAACGAGGGACGTATCTTTTTTTCCTTTTTTTCTTTTTCGAAAAGATACGAAGACTAAAACGGATAGGAATTTCGCGCATACCTGCATTCGTTCGGAGTTAAACGCGCCAACCTAAACATTTACGACATCAAAGCGCCATACCAAACTGTGCAAACGTTCGCTAATATCGGCGAGTGGGGCAGCGTACTTTGCTAACGAGACATTAATAACCAAACGGCTCGATTCGACCGTGAAATTTTCATCGAGACTTTGCAGACTTTACCAATCGTTATTTCGTTCTCGAGAGAGAGAGAGAAAGAGAGACAGAGACGGAGGGAAGATACGTGTCGAGGCCTTCGTGAATCGTGGGATTAGCACGTGTGCTCGAGTTGTTTAGACGAATTAACAACGAGCCCGTTTACAAGCCGAGAAAAACGATGCTTTGAGTCAACAAAGATGAAACAAGCACAGACTGCGTCGTGTCGGAGGATCCGATTTCTTTCGCGCTAATCGACACGTGTCGTCCTTCGATACCTCGCATTCTGAAAATCGACGACCACCGCTAAAAGAACGCACGCTTCGTAAATTTCGTATAAATTTGTAAAATTTATTTCGGTGTGCGCAATTTTCGCATCTTCGAATTTCTCGGTGTAACGTTATTTGTAACGACGAAAATAAACGTACAAAGGAGGTGTATTGACTTTTAATTGTTTTTAATATATTTTAATATATTTTAATCGACAGCTCGTTCCATTCCACGTAGAAAAATATTAATTTCAATTTTGTTTCAGATTCGGTTCAATCGAAACCGATACGGTTTAATACTTTTGCCATATAAAGAGCTGCATTTGACGACGAATATTAAAAAAAAAGTACTTAAAACTTCGTCGCGATCCTCCTACTCACAAAAGGGACGAATAATATTCCGGAACATCCTTTCATCCCATACAACTTTTATTTTTCGCCACGAGTAACGAGAAACACCGAAAACGAGACACCCTGTACACACACCTGACTCGCATTATATATCGATTTATTTTATCTCTTCGCGCATCCACGGATCTGCGAATTTTCCATTCCCAGAGTCTGGAATATCTCCGCGGGGCAAAGGTATCTCCTTGCCGCGCGAACAAACGGAATAAATGACAGGAATAATATACTGCGGGGCCGAAGAAAGGCTCATACGTTTCAATCTACGTCGAAGAAATACGATACGTGGACTCTCGACGCATTCTCTCGGCGCGCTCTGCCGTCGCGCAACCCGATTTCCGCAACTTTCGAGGAATCTTTTCTTTTCTTTTCTTTTCTTTTCGTTTTTTTTTTTCCTAAACGATAGAGGAAGAAGAATTTTCCTTTTTTCTTTTTTTCTTTTCGTCGTCAACAAGAGCGTTCGAACGAGGCTCGAAGGATACGCCGTGGTGAATTCGGCAGGGAGAAGCGGAAGAAGTAATTGAAGGAAGAGGAAAGTGGGCCAAAAGGGTTGAGAAGAGAAGCGAGCAAACTCCAAAGTTCAACGATTGTTTTATGTAATCTTCCCCTTGTGGCCTCCGTGGTGGAGGGATGGTTGAATTGAACGTTGGACTCTATTTCCCGACGTAATCGGGATCTTTAAAAGCGGGATCTCAAAGAGGGCGAATGAAATTCAAGGTATGGTAATTAGATGGAGGACGAAATAACATCGGCTTCCTGTTAAGACGAAATTATTATTATTATTTCGAAACGGCAAAACTCGTTTCCGTCTCGTCTAGTTGTTATATCACCAGTAGTAGTAGTAGTAGTATTTATTAAACTTGTCGCGCCGTTTTCTCAATTAAAGCGGGGAAGGCAGATGCTCCCAGCGAGGGAGCATATTATTCCCCGCCCCTCCCCGAACGTTTTTTCTTCTCTCCACGCGAAATCAAATCTTATTATCTCTCTCTTGTTCATCACTCGGGACGAATATCCCGAAAATAAATTCTCGTCTCACCTGGTATTCGCATTTGAACTCGTGCTCGAGGAACGAGAGGCGGCGCAGCTCCCAGGAGAGTTCGAACGCCGTCAGGATCGGATCCTTTGAGGAAAGAGAGATCAAGGACGGCGAGGCTAAGGCCCTGTACGCGTTTATTCGACTCCTGGAATGCCTCAGGGAATCCTCCCTCCTCGATGTCACGCACTCGTCGCACCTGTTTACATTACAACGTAAAAATCGTGGATGTAACGATTTTCCTCGAATTTATGGAAGCGAAGGTTGCAAGAAATACTAATCATCGGAGTGAAATTTCCGCCCCGTCGGACGGGGAATTAGGCGAAGGTTTGGATCAGGTTTAAGCGGCGACGCCCTTAAACGCGTTTAATTCAATCGGCTCCGTGGTCGGAGCAAAGAGGTCGCGGGAAAGGTAGTGGAGGGAGGAAATTAATCAGCGCGAAACCGTGCACGCGTAACGTATCTTCTCACGCCCACGCTCGAGCCGGATTTATTTACGATGAATAAAATTTCATCGTGGCGGTAGAACGCGGTAGAACGATGAAAGGAGAGAGAATCCGTTTATTTGAGAAATCGCTCACCCGCAACGAACGTCGTGAGGCATAGGCAACGTGGATCCGCGATCGAGAAGAATCTTAATGATCTCGTAATTGTCTCTGTGCGCGGCTAGGATCAGGGGCGTGATGTCTGGCGTGAATGTGGCTGTGTCGGATGGCAGGGCTTCCCAACTCTGAAACAAAGACGCGTAAACATGTTTCGCTTCGTTGCGGCATCCCGATAATTTCGTCCTAGACCAAAGAAATTATCGGATTATTATTAGTCGCCAATTTTTCCAAACGATTTGTTATTTACGAGATTTTTCGTGTTAGCAATTTTTCGTATTCGATTTCGAGTTGATAATTCGAGTTCGATTTTTGGAAGGAGGCGAAAAAAAGGAGGGGGCACGATAATTATTCCAGCTGCGCCGCGTAAGCCGATTCCTCTTTCTCCGGAAAGAGGAATAAAAGCCGATTAAACTCCCTCTCGTCTACGTTTTCGCGTCCCTTTCTTTTTTTTTCCTTTTTTTTTTTTTTTTTTCTTTTTTTTCCCCTTTATTTTACCATCCCCCCTCCGCGCGTCCGTTCGCCATTCGAATTTATACGGTGGAATCGTGGTTCGAAGCTTCGAAATAACGAAAATAGGATCGATCGGTCAGCCGGCTTTCCAGTCGAGACACCCTTTGCCGCGAGCTACGAGCAGAGATCGAACGACGAAAAATACTCTTCCGAGTATCTGATTAAAATGTGGGTCGACCTATTTGTCGGTGGAATCTACTTAACTATCCTCGTCGTTCGATCCGAGCCGATCGTCGTCGTCGTCGTCGTCGTCGTCGTCGTCGTAGGCAACGAAAATTAGAAAGAAGGGGAATTTCGATAACTGAAACGAAATTGCCTAGGCGGAAAAATGCAATCACGTTGGTTAATTGGGAGGCGAGGTGTGCCGCGCTGCGAAAATCAAAGTGTTCTCTCCGAAGGGGATCTCGACCGAAAGGGGTGTTCTCGAATTTACGCGAGAAAAAGAGAGAGAGTGAGAAAGTGAGAGAGAGAGAGTGAGAGAGAGAGAGAGAGAGAGAGAGAGAGAGAGAGAGAGAGAGAGAGAAAGAGAGAGAGAGAAGGAGCTTTACGCGAGAACGCGAGTTATTCTCTACTCTAGACAGAAAGAGAGAAGAAGATAAAAGATCTTGGATCGATACAGTTACATATACTAGGCGATGAAAGCGACTAACGTGTGGCTCCCCATTTCGATGAAGACTCTCCTCGTGTTCCAGAAGTACCTCGACCGCCTCCACGAATTCCTCGGAGATCGCGTGGAGGAGGGCATCCTTCGTGTCGACCTTGTGCTCGATCAGAAGCTCCACCATCTCCAGATTTTCGTTATCGATCGCCATCAATAGGGCGGACCGTCCCAACGGATCCACGCAATTGATATTCATTTCGGTTTCCTGGGCGCTTTGCAACATTCTGCGAACAACACAACATTCGGCAACGCTCGCATCACCATTTAACCATTTCACCTCTTCGTTCATTCTTTTTTCCCCCATTGTCTTTTTTTTTTGTTTTCCTTTTTCTTCTTTTCCCTCCTCCCCCCAATCACGACCAATCGTTCGATCACGGAGACGAGATCGGGCTAGATAGGGCTAGATAGATCCCATTTCGAGACACCGATTCCACGAAATGAGAATTCCACGACCTCTGAAACTTTCTCTCGCGCATCGCAATCGGTATTAATTGCATTATCGAGAGACGAGAAACGCCGGTCGAAGAATTCCAAGAAATCTCGGAATCGCGGCCGACGATTCTGAGGTAATTAGATCCTTCGTTTTGCGCGCGCAATTGTAATATGGATATAAATATATAAAAGCCGCGCCTTTCACTTTCCCCCTCGAGATCTCCTCCCGATTCCCGAGAATTAGGCCGACCGATTTCTAACAAATCGCGTGCGCATCGCACTCTCGTTTGCGAGCCAATTCCTTTCCAGCGAATTAACGTAACTCTCCCCTCCCCTTCCCATCTAAGTACACCTCGTCTACGATACACCTTGCTTCTTCCCAATTTTCCCTCGAATACATTTATATATATATATATATATATATATATATATATATATATGTATAAAAAAAATACAAAATATTTCTATCCTCTCGAATTATTTTTATCCCTTCGTATTAACATTATCGATACAGCCTCTACTCGCGAGCGTAGCAATAAACGGAGGAATCTACGATATTACGTTCGAAAAAAAGAAAAGAAAAAAAAAAAGAGAGGTCGGAAGACAGAGGAGAGCGTGTTCTATTTACGAATGATCGGGCGGGTAGATCCAGACCGTCGGATGATGTAACGAGAATCACGAGTACCTCTCCAACTTTTCTCCCCTCCGGAAGGGAGGCAAAATTGGCGCGTGCACGAACAGAGAGAGAGAGAGAGAGAGAGAGAGAGAGAGAGTTTTTTCTTTTTTCCAGAGCGTTGCCACACATCGAGAATTCTACCTTTCGTTACGTTCGTCCTCGTTACGTGATCCACGCCGTATCTTCCAATATTCCATTTTCCAAAGGAAAGAATTTAATTTATGCGTATAGTAGGTTTCTGACTTTTTTTCCAAAAAAATCTGTATTTCTCACCTTCTGACGGAAGCCACGTCTCCCCGCTCCACCGCGAGAAGATACTTCTTCTCTTGATAGGACAGACTGGCCATTTCCTGGTGAGGTCTCACCACGTTCTCTTCCTCTATCATGCCGTGGATACTGTGCCTCTGCGAAACCATCGTAAAAACGATTTTTTTTTTTTTTTATTATTACGCTTCTCGTCCCAACGACACATTTTGACCAAAAAAATAAACTTTCTATACGAACACGATATTCATTTCATTTGCCCGTCATTCATCCTCGCGACAGGAATTAATCAAAAAAAAAAAAAAAAAAAAACAGACACACACGAATGCTTCTTCCCTTTCGTTTCGTTTCACTCATTCGTTCCACGTCGACTCTTTTCTTTTTTCTTTTTTTTTTTTTTTGGGAGGTATTTCTATGAATATTTTGCTAAATGCGAGTGCAGTTGTATATCCTACGTTTATATATATGTATACATAGATAAATAGGATAAATATATGGGATATAGGATTGCAGATATTGCAGGCTGACCTATAATTAATGAACAACTTTAAGCATGGAGCAATCGTTAAAAGTTTTCTTCCTCTCTCTCTCTCTCTCTCTCTCTCTCTCTCTCTCAGACTCATTTCTGTCATACCGTTCAATAGAATTTTTTATATCCCCCTTCTTCCAAAGAGAAACGAGCATTTTCTGAAGGAATTTCGAGGGATAGAGGGTTATTGATCGAAGGGGAGGGGGAAGGGGCAAGTCCTGATGAAAGATGGATGAAATTAGGATGATAAATGTAGCGCTACGTATATATAGGATATAGGATACAGTTGGCGCGAGAGTATCTCGATCCTCTGGATCGAGGATCACGAGCATCGGGATTTAAAGCGATATCGTTATCCAATTTTTCGATACGAAGTCTGGCGGATACGTAAAGAGGAAAGGGGTTCGCGTTATCCTTCCAAAAGTTGAAATTTCCAAAAACTTTGAAGTTTTAACCTTAAATTCGATATCCCTCCTCCAAAGAGGTTAACCAGATTCCAAAGAGTTTTTCTTCCTCTAGCAAAACTGCGCGGGAGGATTGGATCCCTTCTCATCCAATTTTCGACTTTCCCGCGACTTTCTTCTGTCGTATAAAATTCTTTGATCTTTTTGATCATCGCTTAATCGTCTCCTCCTAAATCCGCGATCTCAAGATCGTCATTTTATTTCGTTTCCAAAACGCTTCTCCAACTCTTACTCATACACACTTTCTTCGCTATCATAGTATTTCCCAAATTAATGATACAAAGATCACGTTCTCGTCTCATCTCCGTGTTAATTATTTTCACGGCTCAGAAACGTCTTAATCTAAGAAACGTCTTCCTTATTCATTCATCTTCTATTCCTCTCAATTATTTCCTAAATCATCCACGATCTCGATAACAAAAGCAAAGATGCTTCTCGTTCGAGGAAACGAGTTAGACAATATTGCGAAATTGTTCTCTAAGGGAGGGTGAATAATTATCGAGCAATTAAACAAGGACCGGTTATAAACAAGAAGATGGAAAGAAAATTTTCGACTTTTCGACGGTCGGATTGGAGGAGAATTATTCGTGGGCGGCGTAGTTGGAAACGAGTGATCGAAAGGTCCGGCCGGAATTGGGACGATCGTAGGAGGAACGAGGCGAGCAATTAACGGCTTGGATAACCCTTCATTGTTCGACGAGGCGAACCTCTCGTTACGAGGCAACTTCTTTTTATTTGCCTCCTCCCCCCATTCGATATCGCGGAAAAGAATACCGATGCAACGTCGGTGAAACGCGTAAAGATCAAGCATAAGCTTGAGAACAATGCGCCATCTTCCTCCTATTCAAACCGGCTATCGCGGCAGCTTTATACCTGTGTACCTTCTCGAAAACGGGACCAGTGTTTTCTTATTACAACCAGAAGGATCCTCGAGATAGAAGTGTGCAATCGTACGTGTTGTTACGATAATCGTTGATATTATCGTTTCTTTGGTTATTAAGGGAGAAGAGGTATTGGATGGAAAAACATTTCGAGAGGATATTGATCTCGGCGACACACAAGTTTTATCACAATTTTGATTTTTTAAAACGTGTTTCTCCCCAATTCGATTGAAAACAAACGATTCGGCAGCTACGAGTTTTTGTAAAAAATGTGTACAATCGACGTGTTGAAATGAAACAATAACGAACGAAGTTTAATTTAAATACTAATTTAATTTAAATACTAAGAATTAATTATATCTCTATAAAGAAGTCCTCTAAAGAATCGTCGATTAACCGAAACCAATTTCAACGAAAGTCTTTCAGCGTTTTCATCAAGATCGAAAACAATGGCCTTTGTCGGTTTCATCTCGAAAGAACCATTTCAAAGAAGATAATAGTACATAGATATCTACATTTTTATATGCCAAATTCCACTACTTTCTTTTTAAATTATAGATAAATATGAAGAAAAAATAAGCACAAGTGTGAACACCGAATTGAAGCGAGAGGAATCGAATGGAAAATGGAAGAGAGTCCCGGAAGTTTGTCGAGGAAATTAAAAGACGTAAGAGCGTAAGATGGTGGAGCGAAACGATCCGCAAACACGTACTCCTGTTCGTGGCGGAAATGAAATGATCGAAGAGGGTTAAACGCGAGACGAGATCCAGCGGCTAATGGCTGCGTCTCCGCCAATTAACCGGCCCTCCGCTTTCTAATCATAGAATCGGCGCAAGGACGATGCCGTACTGCGTGTACCACAATACATATGCGTATATACATATATATACATATACATGGATATATCTGGTCCCAATGGAAAAGGGTCGAGTGGCAGAGGCCGATAGAGAGGAGGAGGCTGAGCGGAGGAGGTTGATGGACAGTGTTTACCGAGGGTGTGGCGGCTCGACAATTAGGGTGCGCCCTGGCAAACACTCGTTCGCTGTCAGTGTCGGCCCTTGGCACAGTATGTCATCTTCTCGAAGCCGAGAGGGGTAATCCGCGAATACTCCTTCTCATCTCTGCTCGTTACCCTCATTATTTTCCACCTTCTTTTTATCAACAGGGTTTTCTTCCACCTGACCGTCCACCTTCCTTCTTCGCCCGTTCGTTCAGAAGAACGATCCCTCTTCCTTTCTCTCGCCTCTTTCGTTTCATGCATCGCCCCTGCGCGAATATCAAGCATGATCGCGATGATGGATCATCACGCGGGCTGGTAGCGTTACGGAAGAGGTGGCGGGTTCAAGAAGATGATGAGATAGATGCGGGAAGATTGGTTTCGATCGCGTAAAACCGCGGGATTTTCGGTAAGCTCGGCCGGGTGGAGATTCGGAGACGGTGACGTTTACGAGGTAATAAAAGTGGGAAGGAGAACAGCAAAGAGAGAGAGAGAGAGAGAGAGAGTTTGCTCTCGAGGAAAGCAACGAGAGAAGAAGGCGTGAATGGAAACGGTTTAAAGACGCCAACTATCCAAAGGAAACTGAAACTATCCAACGTAGGAGGAGATTATTCTCAGGGGAACGTCCGATTTCACGAGTTACAAAAGCTGTCCCTGGATCCGTCGTGGTGCGCTTATCATACTGTCCCTACGAGATCAACTCGATCGAGCTTTTTACGAGGCAATAAAAATAAAAGCTTGCCTCGTCCACTCGTAAAAGCGCGCGTATAAGCATACGCCGTTATCTCTACCACCAGCCACCAGCGTGGCTCCGTGAAACAATTTTTTTTCACCCTCGTCTCTTTTCCGATCGAGACGAAAGATACGGCCAGCATGCTGGAAACGTTTAATTGGAAATTGGATTCTAGAGAAGAAGGGGAGAATGGGGTAATAAATTTTCTGATAACGTAATGATTTCTGTATATTCTGCTAGACGATTATGAAAATAGAATTTGAAGCGAGTACATGAATATTTCGAGGATTTCCGCTATTCTTTTCCTTCCAATATCTTTCAATAAAAGTCTTTAAATTGGTGTTTAAATTGAACAATGCTTACCTTCACCTTTTCGTCGATCTTTCTGGCAGGTTGGGACGGCGGTGGGGGCGCCTCGGGGTCGAAGCTGACGCGTTGCCCGATACCCCGCAGGAATGCCCTGCCGCCCGAGTTCCAATTCCTGCTCGTGTTGGTATCCATCCTCAAAGCGAGATACGCGCAATCCTCGTCGGGAGGACCGATTTCTTCGCCGAGACCGCTTTCACCAGGGGATCTCGCGCCCCTGGCGCCATGCTCCTCATCTTTGTGCGCGCTTTCTGAAACAGACATACGTTTCCTCTTCATCCCTCTGTATCCAACCTTTCCTTCTATGTGTCTACGCTTCCCGAACCGATAACGACTTTCCAATATTTTTTCCCTCGCAATTTCTCCCCTCAACGCTCGATCCACCTTCGTACGATCTTTTATCCCCGAGGAATAAATTCGGCTGACGACGATAAACGCCTCTCTACAAAATCCTTCCTGTTCAGGAAGGACAGGAAAGGGATATTCGAACGTCTTCGATACATGATATTTTTAAGCAGTTTCCTCGTCGACTCTCGTCTCGTATCGATGGTAATATAAATAAAGGCCTGGAGTAAGAATGGCGGGGATCTAACAGGCACAACTGCGAAGCAACTTGGGATACACCCTGTTGGCAATCCAAGCGGATGATGGATCGTGGAATACACTCACCCTTATTGGTTTCGCGCAAACACGGCGCGCGCGTACGTCGAGGTTTGCGACGTAATTTTCGGGGTCCTTCGAAGAAGACATCGATTGCGACGCGATACCTCGATCCACACTTCTCGCGTTATCGCGAAAGAAAAATAAAGAAAAATAATGAAACTTTCTTTATTTCGCGCGATACGTTTCCGATTCGAATAAGAATTTTCGAGAAAGAGGAAAGAGATCCTCGATTGCTATGAAACGCGAAACCAATTGTAATGGGGAAAACAATCGATTGTTTTCAATAAACCGTATATTATTTGTTCCAGTAACGATTTTTTTTAATATCGCATCGTTTTGATTCTAAAAGAGGAAATTTCCTTTGCTTCTTTGGACATCGAGATCTTTTTTTCTTCCCTAAATTTATTTTTAAAAAATTATTCAATTCCGTTAGAGAGGATGTTTTTATTTCAGAAAGAAAACAACCCCCTTCCTCTTCCTTTTGATCTTCCATTTCTCTAAATTTCTCTAAATATTAATGATGGTCCTCGTACGTACTATATGCAGGTCTCGCTGCAGCATCTCAAAAAATAGAAAATTCAAATACATTCGTACATTGGACGATAATTAGATTAGGACGAATTATTCCGATACTTGTTTGCATTTATTATTGTATCTGAAGCTTGAATTTCAATCGTCGCATCTACAGCGATGCACACACAGTTGAACGCCTATACAACGTAACCCCTATTATACGCGTTACATTTTAATAATTTTATCGCAATTAAACGAAAAAAAAAAAGAAAGAAAGAAAGAAAGAAAGAAAGAAAAAAGAAGGAGAAGCAAACGATGGAATGGAAAAATGAAGGGTGGAAACGAGAACGATCGAAATAATTCTTTCCGCGGCTATTAATCTCAAGGGTAAATATGTATCACGAGAGCAGCCAGGTTTCATCGTTAGTTTATCGAGCGTCGCGCCATTGTGGCGGGGGTTGCGCAACGAGATCGTTAGAAACCGATGATTTACATAAGGCATGAGATGTGTGCGTGTGCGCCGTTATTTCACGCGAATGGATCTCGAGACGATGGCGAAATATATTGCGAAACAAATCGAAATTGAGCCACGACGACGTTCGCCCTTCGTTACTCGTGTTCCGCTCGACAAATTTCGTTAAACATTTCCTCCTCCTCCTCCTCCTCCCTCGCCAACAATTATGCTAGTCAGAGGCGAACGTAAATCTCTCACCGTTAATA